ATACTGGGTGTATGGTCGGCTGTGTGCGATTTTGCGAGTGTGGTAAAATCGCATAACAGCCGAGCATACACCCATACACCCAGCTGATGCCTGAACGGTATGTGGAATGAAGTGGGCGGGCATCGGGAGGCCACTATGGCACGGGGCAAGCACTATGGGCAGTCTATCTGAAGTGTACCTGGCGTATAAGACGACCCCCCACTTGGAGGCATATTTTTCAGGGCCAAAAAATCGTCTTATACGCCGGCAAATACGGTAAGTCTTCTAACAGTGAAGACTAGAACCCAGGTCTTCTAATTCATGGTTCAGTACGCTGTCCATGCAATTCTTATTCCAATATACTGTATGTGTATGTGTGTGTGTGTGTGTGTGTGTGTGTGTATTATCATTTAGCTTCTCTGCATCTAGTCTGCTCATCTTTAAAACAGGGGGTCGTCAGAGAGAGAAGAGAGAAAAATAAATAAATAAAAAATAAGGGGTTGTAACAAATCTGAAGGTGGTCATGGGCATCTGAGGGCTATTTTTAAGATTCTGCCGAAGAACAGTGATACTGTTCTTTCATAATAGTGAGACTGATTATTACAGGGTGTGCCCAAACGTTACTGCAGCACATCAGTCACAGAGAGTATACACTCCGCCTGGCAACAGTTCAGCACAACAGCCAAAATTAATCAGCAAAGTGTACTCAGTGGGATCCTCGTACTGGAAAGATGGGAAACCACTGGACTAGATAGCTATGCTGCGTTGGTGGCGACAGAGAGTTAACTCCCTGCTCACTGCTCTCGCTGGTGGCACCTTATCTGAAAAGCCAGGACCAGGGAATGAGTCAGAGTTTGAAGGGGGTTCACAGCTTGATCTGGGAGTTGGCGGTGAAGATGTCCGCTGGACTCATAAAGGTCACACTGCAGATAAGGAGCCATCCCGGGAGGTAGGCGGAACAGACTCACAGGCCTCCAGGCCAAAGCAGGGCCTGGGCTTAGTCTTCCTAGGTTTTATATTTCCATAAATTCACGTATTTTTGTTTCAGACTTGTTTCTTAGGCTGCAAGGCCTGAAACAGCCTTGCTGTTTCACACTTCGCTGTTGGGGGATTTGGTCATGAACATATATCCCTTTTTAATTTTTCATTAGAGATCTAAGTTTTTTGTTTTTTTATATTTTATTGATATTTACAGAGAGGAAGGGAGCGGGATAGAGAGTTAGAAACATCGATCAGCTGCCTCCTGCACACCCCCTACTGGGGATGTGCCCACAACCAAGGTACATGCCCTTGACCAGAATCGAACCCGGGACCCTTGAGTCCGCAGGCTGACACTCTATCCAGAGTCAAACAAGTTAGGGCGAGATGTAAGTTTTTTAAAAATATATTTTTATTGATTTCAGAGAGGAAGGGAAAGGGAGAGAGGGTGATGGAAATATCAGCGATGAGAGAGAACCATTGACTGGCTGCCTCCTGCATGCCCCTTCCTGGGGATTGAGCCCACAACCTGGGCATGTGCCCTGACTGGGAATTGAATCATGACCTCCTGGCCCATACGTCGACACTCAACCACTGAGCCACGCCAGCTGGGGTAGAGATGTAAATTTATCACTGCTCACATAAGCCTTGTGTTTCTTTTCAATAGCAAATTATTAGCATGGGATTTTAATCACAAGTTGAGGTAACAATATCTTATTTAGATTAAAGATATATAACTTCTGAATTTAATCAAATTTTATGCATTTTATCTAGATCATTCAAATGATTCTTAAATTGAAACTTTTGCTGTTTCGCTCTTTCTTTCAATGATGACAGATCACTTGGAGGTCAGGAACTCACATTTTGATGTTGGATTCTATTGTCAGGCACACTTCTCCCTAACTCCTGTGTAAAGAGTAACTCAAACTACTTGGTTATTTTTAAAAACCATTTAGGGGTATTGAACCCTTATCAAAAATTCATCTTTTAATGGTCAAATTCTGAGAGTAATGACAGCTTTAGGTAACAATATGAATGAATGTGTCTAACATAATGTGGAACAAAAGAAACAAAACAAAAGAGCATATACTGTAATGATTCCATTTATCTGTATTATAAAAAGCAAGCGGCCCTAATGTCATGACACCGTAACAACCAAACGGCGGGTGGGCGGGGCTGCAAGTGCAGTGAGGCATGCACAGGTGGGCAGAGCTGCACGATTTCGTGTGCTGGGCTTCTAGTATAAAATAAAAAATTGAGCCCTCGCCAGTTTTGCTCAGTGGATAGAGTTTCAGCCTGCTGACTGAAGGGTCCAGGGTTCGATTCCTGTCAAGGGCACATGCCCGGGTTGCAGGCTCGATCCCCAGGAGGGGGCATGCAGGAGGCAGCCGATTCATGATACTCTCTCATCATGGATGTTTCTATCTCTCTCTCCCCCTCCCTCTCCCTTCCTCTCTGAAATCAATAAAAATATATTTTTTTAAAAATCTAAAGTTGACAAATTTAATCTATGTTGCTAGAAGCTGGGTAATGTTTTCCTTTGTGGTGGAGAGGTGAGGCAGTGATTAAGAAGTGGTGTGGGCATCTTCTGGGGTGCTTGCAATATGGTGATTCTTATTTATTAATATATTTTTATTGATTTTGGAGAGGAAGGGAGAGGGAGGGGGAGAGAGAGATAGAAACATCAATAATGAGAGATAATCATTGATCAGTTAGCTGCTTCCTGCATGCCCCACACAGCGGTTGGAGCCTACAACCTGAGCATGTGCCCTGACTGGGACTTGAACTGGTGACCTCTAGGTTCATGGGTTGACGCTCAACCACTGAGCTACACTGGCTGGGAGAGTTTTGCTCTTAAATTTACATCTTCCATTCATTTTGAGTTAAAATTTTGTGTATAGTGAAGTGAAGGGAGAGAGAAAATTAACCTTTTGAATGAGGCATTTCACAACTATAATTCCAACTAAAATTATAGCTAATGTACGCTTAAATGCCCATCAGATTTATTTTTTAATTAAAAAATCATTTAATTAACCTAGTTTCAAAACTATAATTCTTCTACTTGAAAGCAACTGTAGTGGCTAATTAGGTCAAAACCTATTAGCTTTGGAAATGACAAATTGTGAGCCAAACACATTGTACTTGTTTCCTGGTCCAATCAGGCAACAATCATTGGTGGTTGCTTAAACTATTAAGTGACAAGTTCCTGGGGAACTCTGTAGTAGATCATCCAGTAACACCAAAACCCACTGAATAATCTGAGCAACACTAAACAGAGGACACCCAGAGCTAACTATAAGCTTACAAAAAATATGGAGGCTAGAGGAACAAGAAAAACTACACTGTGTGGATACAACCAGTACAGAATGTGTGAAATTCTAGAGTATAAATGATACAGTTTCTATAACAACAACAAAAAGGTATAAAAAAAGACAGAGGGAAAAATTAAAAAAAAAAAGACAGGAAAGTGTTATAGACTCAAATGATCTTGAGACATATTAACTAAGTGCAATGTGTAGCCTTCATTTAGGTCCTGAAAAAAAAAAAAAAAAGAAAACATCGTAAGAGGATATTTTTGAGACAAGGAAAACAACATGGATTGACTATTAGAAAAAGTAAGAATTTATTAATTTTGTTGGCTATAATAATGGTGTTGGGATTATGTTTTTAAAGTCTGGTAGGAACACATACAGAAGTATTGATTTATAAGATTTTGAAACCACCTATTTATCTGCCTTGCTTTTAACAACATCATGCCTGAAGCTCCAACTAATCAACTTAGTTCAGCTTTTCTCGGGCTGAGCATGTGATGACCACCTAAAATGTGGGGCCACATTATTTAGAGAAAAGTAAAATGACAATAATGTACTTGGTATAGAGGCAGGAAACAGTCACCTATATTATCATATCCGAATTTGCATAATCAAGAGGCTCTGCTGCATTTTCGTTAGTGTAGTGAGTAGGCCATCGTTTATACTTTCTACTATTCGCATGCATTGTTTTTATAATTAGAAGAAAACAACAGGTGTTATGTCTTAAAAAGTAAAAATTAGTAATCCAAAATAAAAAAAGGTAGGGGTATTAGCAGTAGAGAGCACGTTTAAAAGTATGTAACTCATAAATAATGAGGAATAAAGAAATAAAATGGAGTCACTACGGTCAAGCTGCTAAATTACTAAAATCAAGCATGCTGAGGAATGAGGAAATTGTTCTATTCTTGCCTTACCTAGCCTGGGGACTTAAACTTTTAAACTTCTCGGCTGAGCATCAATGCCTAGATGTACATTATTTCCACCGATAACCATCTGACCAACTCAGGAAAAAACGCTCCATTATCCAGACCATGACTAGACACTTGGAAGATTACCATCTTGGACCAACCCATCAGCGAAGAATGCAGGACTGTTTCTTTTTTACTCGAAGAACTCGCAGCTTCTCTTTCTCCTTTGGAACACTCTGGATATTAACTAGCTGTGTTTTCAGTTTGCACACCCTAAGTCCCTTGAGTAAATCTTTGTCCTTTATTTCTGGCCAAAGCCTCCTGACCGGGTTGTCTGATTTCAAAGCCGAGGCTCTGGGTTCAAATAGGTGCACACACTGAAGAAGTGGCGCTGCTGGAAGGAAGTGGTCCCAGAAGCAAGGACACACGAAGCCCTGCTCCACGGTGCGCCTAGGAAGGGCCTCCAGCTTTGCTCCCCCTCCCGCTGGCCGCGGCACATTCCCGGCTCCTGCGACAGCCCCGGTGGCCGGCCTGAGCCTTCCGCGGAAGGGTCAGCGGCGCCCAACACGCCTACGGCGCCTGCTTAGGGAGAAGGCGGCAGCGCCCACCAGGGCGTCTACTGTGCTGGGCCGGCGAAGCGCCGGAAACCAGACAGAGCGTCACTCGGATAGGCGGTGCTCGTGAAGGCGGAACCGGAGCCGCAGCGGAGGGCGGGGCTTCGGAGCTCCTCCGCTTCCTATTGGACCTGACCGCTGTTAGTCACGGCCTCCTTTCCGTCCCCACCTTTTCCGCGCTGGCCGTCAGTTAAATGAGGGGCGGGGCGGGGCGGGTCCGGGCCAGTGGCGACTTCCGGTAAGGGAAGAGAGTTGCAGCCTAGGAGGGGCTACCGAGAGGTGGAGGAGGAAGAGGGAAGCTCCGGGCGGTGGCTGCAGTAGGTGCTGGCTGTAGGTTGTCGGGGGCAGCGGCGGCTCTCTCGCAGGCGGACGATGGACAGCCAGGGCAGGAAGGTGGTGGTGTGCGACAACGGCACCGGGGTAAGCTCCCGACGGGGAGGCCGCGGCGGCCCCGGGTCCGGGTGGGGCGCACGGGCCCTGGGAGCGCGGGGTTGCACCCCTGGGCCCTCGAGCCGTCCGGGCCAAGGGGCGCGGGCAGCCCTTTCCGCCTCTGTGGATGTAGGCAGGGAGTGGGGGCCCAGGTCTCCCCGAGCCTCCCACCCCCTCATCCATCCGGGTCGGGGCGGCGGGCGAGGCCGGCACTGCACGGGGACCCATGCCTGCTGCCCTGCAGGGGCCGGCTCCACGCCCCACGCTGGGCGATTTGGCTAAAGGGTCGGAGGGTAGAAGACGAGGTTTGTGTGTTCGCGAAGGGCTTCGTTGCCCCGGGTCGCCGGTGTGTGAAAAGGGGAAAGACCCAGAGGCCTTCCTTTTCCTGTGTAGGTACCGAATGGGAGGCAGGAAACGGGTTTAAAGAAAAAAAAAAAAAAAAAAAAGGAAGTACTCTCAGTGCAAGCCTCAGCCCTTTAGCAGTTTTGAGGTTTTGTGTTTTTTTTTCTTTTTGAGGGAAGTAGAGGCCAGATCGGAGTGCATAATTCACTTTTTGTTCTGCATGCCGGGAATTTTGCCCACGGCGGCCCCGCGGAGACCTGCATGTTCCATTGAATGGTCTCGGGACGTCCAGCACCCCTCAAGGGGTCCCAGTGTTAGTTCTGCTGACCTTGCGGGAAGTTCATCGTGTTGGCACCTCCCTCCCCCCGGTTTTAATTTTTTTAAATCTTCACCCGGGGATATGCTTTTATTTTATATTATTGATTTTAGAGAGAGGGGAAGGAAGAGGGAGAAACATGGATGTGAGAGAGAGAAAAACATCATGGGTTGCCTCCCATTCGCCCCCCGGATCAAACCCGAAACTTGGGTAGGTGCCCTGACCGGTATCCAACAGAGACCCTTCGGCGCACGGACGCTCCAACCAACTGAGCCACACTGGCCAGGACCCCTCGTTTTTGTCCTTAGGTACAGATTACAGATAATGTTAGTCTTTAGGAGTCTAAAACGCAAATAATTGTAAAAATCGGAGTAAAACACTGATTAAAAATTATTTGGAAAGCTGTTTCTTTCAAACGCGCCCCCTCGCCCCCCGCTTTAAAAATATATTTTGGGCAGCCAAGGCAGCAAATTAGAAGACAGAAATGCTACTTACTTTGGATGAGTTCCATAGAGGTCATTTTCTCCTACATTACAGTGATCTCTAACCATTTTGGAGTTGCATATTTTGTGACTTTTCTCCCCCTTCTTCCATAAATGTGACATATGAATTAAAAAAGATTTTACGTGAACTTTCAAATTGGATTGGAGGAGAGGAGGGGAAAAGACCTAATATTCACTGCCATAATACTTCCCTTGATGGAATTTGTTACAGACTTTTACAAGTAATAATTATACTAGTTTTATCTGAACTTAGTTAAAAATGGTCTTGAGTAATAAGGGTGTTATATAATGGGACATCATACAAAATGAAATTACTTAAAAAAAAGAGGCAGATCTACTGCTATGGAAAGTTGTCTAAGATTTATTGTTAAGTTAAAAAATGATCCAGCTATGTGAGTGTTCTTTATTAAAAATATTTATATGTTCACAGACTTGTGTGTGTATATGAAAGTTTTGGAGGGATACATTAAAAAATGTTCATAGTGATTACCTGTGAGACTAGGGATAACGGAGTGAGGGAAGATAAGGACTTCATGACTAATTATTGGGAAAATGTTCTTTGTGTTTTTAACAAGACGTACTGTTAAATTATCTTTAAAAAACATCGATGAGAGAGAAACATCGATCAGCTGCCTCCTGCACACTCCCTACTGGGGATGTGCCCACAACCAAGGTACATGCCTTTGACCGGAATGGAACCTGGGACCCTTCAGTCCAGTGAGTCAAATCAGCTAGGGCTGGATTCCTCTTTTCTGGGCTGGGGGGGGTGGGGGGGGATGGTGGTGGTGATTCCTCTTTCTTGAAGGCTAATGAACCCTATATTTGTAATGAGTTTTGTGATACTCAATTAGAATAGGGATGTTAACTGTGAGCTCATTAAAGAAAAGTTTGAATTTTGCCCACGGCGGCCCCGCGGAGACCTGCATGTTCCATTGAATGGTCTCGGGACGTCCAGCACCCCTCAAGGGGTCCCAGTGTTAGTTCTGCTGACCTTGCGGGAAGTTCATCGTGTTGGCACCTCCCTCCCCCCGGTTTTAATTTTTTTAAATCTTCACCCGGGGATATGCTTTTATTTTATATTATTGATTTTAGAGAGAGGGGAAGGAAGAGGGAGAAACATGGATGTGAGAGAGAGAAAAACATCATGGGTTGCCTCCCATTCGCCCCCCGGATCAAACCCGAAACTTGGGTAGGTGCCCTGACCGGTATCCAACAGAGACCCTTCGGCGCACGGACGCTCCAACCAACTGAGCCACACTGGCCAGGACCCCTCGTTTTTGTCCTTAGGTACAGATTACAGATAATGTTAGTCTTTAGGAGTCTAAAACGCAAATAATTGTAAAAATCGGAGTAAAACACTGATTAAGAAATTATTTGAAAGCTGTTTCTTTCAAACGCGCCCCCTCGCCCCCCGCTTTAAAAATATATTTTGGGCAGCCAAGGCAGCAAATTAGAAGACAGAAATGCTACTTACTTTGGATGAGTTCCATAGAGGTAATTTTCTCCTACATTACAGTGATCTCTAACCATTTTGGAGTTGCATATTTTGTGACTTTTCTCCCCCTTCTTCCATAAATGTGACATATGAATTAAAAAAGATTTTACGTGAACTTTCAAATTGGATTGGAGGAGAGGAGGGGAAAAGACCTAATATTCACTGCCATAATACTTCCCTTGATGGAATTTGTTACAGACTTTTACAAGTAATAATTATACTAGTTTTATCTGAACTTAGTTAAAAATGGTCTTGAGTAATAAGGGTGTTATATAATGGGACATCATACAAAATGAAATTACTTAAAAAAAAGAGGCAGATCTACTGCTATGGAAAGTTGTCTAAGATTTATTGTTAAGTTAAAAAATGATCCAGCTATGTGAGTGTTCTTTATTAAAAATATTTATATGTTCACAGACTTGTGTGTGTATATGAAAGTTTTGGAGGGATACATTAAAAAATGTTCATAGTGATTACCTGTGAGACTAGGGATAACGGAGTGAGGGAAGATAAGGACTTCATGACTAATTATTGGGAAAATGTTCTTTGTGTTTTTAACAAGACGTACTGTTAAATTATCTTTAAACAAAAGAAACTATAAACATTTGTTTTATAGTTAAAACTCAGTTAAAGGTACTTTTTAAGAGATATTAGTCTCAAGTTGACCTCTATATAAACTTAAAGCTTTAAAATTGAATTTAAAACATTTTGTGAATATGCCGGATGATTCTCTTTAGAAATCTGAGCCATTTATGTTTTAATGGATTCCTCTTTTTCTTTTTTTTCCCTTTTTTAATTTTTAGAAAGAGTGGAAGGAAGGGGGGCGGGAAGAGATAGAGAGAGAGAGAAACAATGGTTATAGAGACATATTGCTTCCTGCACGCCCCGACCAGGGCTGGGGGGATGGAGCTTGCAACTGAGGTATGGGCCCTTGACCGGAATGGAACCTGGGACCCTTCAGTCCAGTGAGTCAAATCAGCTAGGGCTGGATT